ATTCTTCCCCATTATCATCATCTCATATGGCGTGTCTATGTTAGCATCTCTTTCTGCATCCAACAACTCCCAACACTTGCACGACTCCCGAATATAATTAAATAAGTGCGCAGGAGCTCGACAGCGCCTCATCTACGTTGTACTGCGGCCGTGACTCCTTTTGCCGTGGTATATATACTGTAGTTGGTGTTGGAATTCTAGTAAAAACCCTGTTTGGTCTCCGCAATGTGCTTTCACATAACCTCAGCGCCCGAAACAGTCGGAATGCACTGGGATGGTATCACGGAAACCTCTCAAAAGAATGTTCGTTTGGGATCATGTTACTCGAAAGTTGTGGCCACGGACGGGATTGGGCGCGTACGTTTAAGTGTCTTCAGATTAAAGATGAGAGCTTCCCATCGTATTGTGTCCAGTGTTAGCCCAAAACTACTCTGCAGTAAAGTAATAGTTAAAAGCAATCAATAAGATTACCGTACGCAAGCCTACCAGCCTGCCATTATCGGTGAGAGCTGCAGACCACCTGTAACACATTTAAGACGTCACCAAGGCCAAAAAAACCTCGTCACAGTACCACAAACATATGCTACTGGCAGTAGCACTGCGCGAGTAGTGGTCAATACTTTACATGTAACATACCTGACAGTACAGAATTGCCATTAAGAGAATATTATAGATTTAAGGAGGATGATAACCTGTCTTTAATCCCATAAGTTTAGGCTATTTTGAACCATTTCACTGCCTGCCACATTTGTAGTATACCTAATACATCCAGGGCATGTTATAGTATTCTCTCACTTAAGACAAACCCGGAGTCAATCGTCTAGTCTAACAAGACAGGCTCAACAAATTTCCATGTTTATACCCTCCTTGTTTGTGCATGGGACTTAATACAAAAATTGTTGTATTTTGACACTTACTCTTCTAGCATGTCAGAGAAAGTTAAGTAACTGTTTGCTCCGATGGTTCTATAATGTTCATAGTTAGGTGCCAATAAAAATCGACGTACGCTCCCGACGACTGAATAAACAATAATGAGTAAAGTTTTTCTATAACAGTGCTGGCACCAGTGCTCCCACTCAGCTTAGACCACCCATTGTGTGCCTCACCTCAATAGCAAGAATGTGTCTAAAGTCCGATGGCCTGGTAGCTCGCCCATTGCTTCTTGCACCTTGTTGACCTTCGTTGTACTCCCAGACCTGGTTCCTAGCGCACACACTCGAGTGAATTGGCCGTTTTTACACCTCACACTCGCATGGTGATACACCGACTTATTCACGCGAGCCCTGAGACCACTAATCAGTCAGAGGGACGCGTTTAGACTTACCCAGCTACTAGTTGTGTGCGTCAGCCAATTCCTGCAAGCGTTCTGCCTCGTCCCGTGAATTACCTCATTATAGCTTTAAGGCGATCATGTGAATGTTCCCCTTCTTATTTTGACACCTTTTGTGACCGCGTGTACTATGACCTTATGACCCCCAGTCCGCTCTGCTTACACACACATCACCCACAAACTACCGCTTTTTATCTGACGCTCCCCTCCCCCGCTCCGCCCGATCTGTGACCCCGTATAATTGACGATCCCCCCCCCCCGATGTGCCGAATATCGTGACCGTACGTCAAGCGGTTAAGATTTGTGCCCAACTGTTGACGGACGGACGCTCGCACGGACGGACGGACGGACGATCATGCGATTCTACAAGCTGCATCTGACTATGTCAGATGAGCTAACTAGCCAAATTACTTGTACGTAGTAGCCACGTATGTAGCCCCTCCAGCCCTACGACTGTTTCACGTCGGCAGAAAACCACTTCTCGCCACGTATAGTGGAAAACGAGCAGGTAACTTGTGGCTACCGTGTAGGTACCTGTATTTGGATGCTGTTGTCTAGTTGTATAAACCAGGGGGTAGTATTAGTAACCTGTACCTCTGCCATACGTTCAGTTACTTACACACCACAAATTGTTGTGTGTTGCTAACCTTTTTGTACCCCCCTACATTGACAAATGACAACTCTATGGAGCGCTATTTCAACATAATACACATACTTTTGGTGCGCGATTTCAACCAATTTTATGAGGCGCGATGATGCACGCACCATGGCACGATTTCGGGTGCGCGGTGGAGCGCGAGCGCGATCGCGCCCCTTAAAAATGAAAGCCTGGTATTACTGTGTGTATTACTAGTCGTTATGTGGAAAGGAACTGCATATACTTATATTCCGTTTATTTGTGTGCTTCAGTAAATCGTATCAAAACACCTTCACCGGGATACGCATTGACAATTGTGTTTATTTGAGTCTTGGAGTTTACCAGCCAGTACACTTTAGATTTTGAAAACTATTTGCTACGAGGTTAGTTTAGCTCTAGGATACTAGTACTAGAGCTAATTATTTTATCTAGTACTGCCCCGTGTCCGATCCATCACCCGCTGGAACATACGGTGTTTGTTTATATTTGTTGTACATTGGTCAGCCATTGATGGCGTACCAACAATGATTTATTTCCATCCCGGCATCCGTTCTGTGATGTATGTACGAAATTTAGCGTGAATGTACGAAATTTACGAATGTACGAATGTCCGAAATTTGTGTGATGTGTGTAGGAAAAATACGCGGAAAAATGTGCGAAATGTAGCGATTTTGAAGTAGCCGCAGCTGTTAAAGCGTCATGGTAATGGCGCAAACGTCGCGGGTTCAATCCCCGCATTGGCAAAATATTTTCCCTCAATTATTTATCGCTGCCGGTTTTCATTACGTTTTTTCATTACACCTTCTACCATGTTCGTGCGTCTATCATGCGTCTATCACCTATGCCTATCATGCATCTATCGTGCATCATTCATCTTCGTTGGATCGGCCGCCACCATGTAATGTTTTCTAGTCCAACTTAAACACAGCCGCTTATTGTTAACTTGACACAGCCACACCGCATGGTAATGGTGGCTCCAATCTAGGCTCGATCTCAATCATTATGCGGGACGGTACTGCCATCTTCCATGTACCAATGTCATGTGCAATATGATTTGGTTACATAATGTGACACAATGAAGTCAGTAGTGTAAACCCAGCTCAAAGCTGGAGAAATTTTTCAATTTCGCAACAGAGTTGGCGAAAATAGAATATGTTCTAATCTACCCACTAGTTGTTATTAACCAGTGACACCAGTGGTTCGCACGACATTTGCGTTTACACTGCCGATTACTGGTTGTATAATTGCGAAATTGATCCAATTCATCAATTTGATGGCATAAAGTCGGTCGTGTGAACCCAGCTTAACCCTCATCTTAGTATTATTTTGAAGGGAAAATACAGGTCAAATATATAATTCTCTGACTGGGTTGAGTATGAACTGGGTCTCCTCATTTTATGTGTGCGTAAGCAGTCCCACCCATTGAGTAATACTATAATTACTACTGCGATCAATTATGTTTAGTCAATAGTGGTGGATCAGTCTACAATGCTACCACGAGCTGGCTCGTGTTTGGAGAATAGATTCCCAAATATACATCATTCATGTGACGTCACACGAGACACGATTTTCACATAGTTCCTTCACGAACTCGCGTTAAAAATAGGTTTAGTGCTTGATAATTTTTTTACTAATACATATAGTTGAAAAACAACACAGAGCTCTACACATTACAAGGTTTGAAGGTGCGCTTAGGTCGGCCTTGCGACGTGACGTGATTGCCAGCGACGACATCTTCTGCAAATGGATGCAACTCACAGCGACGATCTCGTCGCAGGAACAGTTTGACCTGAGGACTCCTGCAACTGCTAGACTGGTCAGCGACGCTTAGCGTCTGAAAAATGGCCAGTCGCTTCGAGTTGCGCATGTTCTACTTTTGCGACGCGATTAGACTAGTTTCCACCCGTCGCTTGCAGTTTTGCCTGACATAAGCTGCCTTGCGATCGCTGCAACGACCTTCGAATGCATAAATGCCATGTGACTGTCATGTGTCATGTGAATAAGTCATGAGACTGTTCAAAATGGCGACCGAGGTGTGGTCAGAAGCAGCTAAAGAAAAATTTTGTGAATTCATTATATTCATTGCTGTAAGAATAACCAGAAACTATCTAGTAGCTTTTTCCGAAGACATAATACATATATGCAGTTTGTTAGGCCTACTACTGCAAGTGCAAAAGGAATTCAGTATGGTACAGTAATAATGGAATTATCGGCTCTCCTGGGATCCAATTAATGACATAATGGCAACGGTATAAATATGTGAAAACATTTTACAAATACTTAAATGAGGAGATGTTGATTTACACTCAAAACTCAATATTTTCATGGTACATTAACCGTCAACAAACCTGTAACATTGACGTCGCCATTTCGAACGATCACACAATCATATAGTTGTGTGCTCTATAGGAGATCGTCGTATCAACCCCAATGCCTTTTGCGACTGCCAGTCTCAGTTTTCAGATTGTCGCTGTTCATCACTGTTAGTTGTATCACTGTTGACATGAGCACTCAGTCATAGTGAGTTGCAACGTGTCGAGTCGCATTGCATTCAATCGCAATCCAACCTAAGCGCACCTTTACAGACTTATTTTGGGGGGTTCGCATAGGCTTTAAGATTTGTAAGTCCCGAATATCAAAGAAATAATTTAATATTACTCAAAAATCATACTTAATTCGACGTGGATATATTGACAAATAATGTATTTCCTATTTATGCTGTGGTTAATTTGTAAATAAGCAAATATAGGCTATGCTGTAATTACCTAATCTCACTAACTTGACAATTTTCAATCGAAAAGGTAAAATCATGGCAGAGCATTTACAACCACACTAAAACCTTTTTTTGGGTGAAATTAGGTGAAGAAATATGATCAAAGAAAAGTGCAACAAACTTATGGTGGTCATTATGACAAAAAGGTCTAATGAGTTACACGTGTATGAAAATATATGAGTTGAAAAAGTACCTTGAGTATCAGTGAAATTAACATGTGAATTCTATTCACGATGATCAAAACATTATTACTGACATACATTTGGCATTCAGAAGATCAGGCTTGGATCGACTAACGAAAAGTGGTCCCGCAGTTGGATGTGTAGATGGATCTTCTTCATTATCTAAAAAGAAAAAAGTACATAATCCAATCAGGCATGACATAGCAAACCTTCATCATAAGATGATATGAGGTTACTACAACTTGCGACCTGTAATATGCAATAGAGATAACCACAGCAAAACAGCTGAATTTTAGGGCAATTTTATAACATGGTAACACATAAATTTCTACATAAGTTGTGAGGATCTTACTCTAATCACCAGGTATTAAATAATTATCATACAGCAGTGTGGTCCACGAGGGGTTTTAACATGCAAGGCCGACAGGTTTGAGTTTTTGGGCCGACAAGTTTGAAAATCGCCGACAGGTTTGGATTCCAGGCTGACAGGTTTGAAATATCAAAGCAAGAAACAACACAAACAAAGCAAAATGCATCTGTACTGCACTGTCGAACGGGACGACGTATGCGTAGTCACAGCGCGCGCTTGTAGCATACACTATTACAGTCTATTACACTGTTTTACTCTGTGCACGGGCTCCCACTTGTCGGGCAGTCGACTCATACAATGCGTCTACGTCTTCTGATCTACTTGCTCTGATTCATGCGCGCATGCCTGTGTGCGTGCGTGCGTGCCTGCACGTGTACGTGCCTGCACGCGTGTGTGCGTGGGTGCGTGCCTGTGTGTGCGTGTATGCCTGCGGGTGTGCCTACGTAGCCACGTATGATTATAGAACAGTGATCCATGGAAAATCGTAATAAAATTCACGTTTATTTTTGCGTGCCGGCACACTCTGTTGAACATTGTGAGCCGGCTCGATGGCTTATCCAAGGATATCGACCAGTTACCCATGATGGGCATCAAGTTTCGAGAAGGTACTTGCCCCGGCAAATCTATGTGTGATCTACTCCAACGTGGGAGTCTTGTAGTATGGACACTTGAATTGCCGTGTTATGATCCTTGGGGTCTAAGCACACGCGTAGTTGCCCATTTGACATGCGGCTAAATGCCAGGCTGCTGATCCAGTCGGTCGGCTCCGTAACTTTTGCGATTACGCCCATCTGCTCCATACCATCAAACTCTTTGCGTAATTCGTCTCGTAGATGTATTACTCATGTGTCATTCCCGATTGTAGCTTTTTCCTCACTTCCAGGAAAGAGTTTTGCTGTCGCTCTCTCATAGTCCAGCGAGTCTTGCTAGCAGAACCAGTATGGACGATAGAACACAGAGGTTAAGTATCAGACAACTTTATTACGACACCATAAGGTACAGAGAGAGCGACAGTGGCTCCACCTACGAGCGACATAAATCATCAAACATATTACATGTATTTTGTCTTCACGCAACACCTTCCCTCTTTAAAGAAAAATAATCGACACATTTTAGAATTCACACTGTTGTCTACTTTACCAAGAAACACAGAATTATCTTAAACTTCAAAGATTCTAACATTCAGGGAACATTACAATGAACTTGTAACGATCAGAACTTATTCAAAATTATCTGCTCTAACAGTTCTCAATGCACTCGTATCATCGCCCACTATACGTTGAAATGGGCGGTCGGTTTCACAGTCCTACCAGACCTCATCCGATAAGGACTTTGCATGGATCCCTGTGGCACACGGTCGCATCCAGTGTCGGCTGGTGTTCGTACCTTTTGTGTACACGTCACATTTCCTGTGGGTTTTGGTACATTCTCCTCGCTCACCTCACTTGCAGAGTCTGTGACACTATCTGCAGTCTGCATCACAGGTGCTTCTGACTGTGGAGTATTGAGGCGCAACTGTCGACGATTACGTCTCGTTACTGTTCCTTCATGAGTGACAACTTCATATGTCCATGGCTGTAGCTGTTTTGTGACTTTGGCAGGCTGCCACTCTGACTGTCCTCTTTGGATTGGTTAATTCCATACACGGTCAACTGGCTTGAGTGGTTTGAGATCATGACGGTTTGCATTTTTCTGATTTGCCATATGTATCCGTCCGTCCTCCATTTGGGATTTCTTGTCTCTTAAAGTTGTTTCTGGTAGTAACTGTTTCAGCGTTGATGGGACAAGGGTTTTGGTCTGCCTTCCAAACAGTCGCTGGCATGGACTAGTTTGTAGACTCTCAGTTGGAGTATTACGCACATTCAACAGGCCAAGGTATGGATCATCATTGGAGACTGCAGATTTTTTCTTAATCTTTTTGGCGTTCATTACTGCTGCCTCTGCGGCTCCATTTGCCTTGCTGTTTCCAGGGCTGGATTGCTTATGAGTAAAACCCCATTTCTTCGCAAATTTTGATAATTCCTCAGAGGCATACTGAGGACCTCCATCACTAATGACACAGTCAGACATTCCATGTCTGGCAAAGTGATGTTTCAGTTTGTTAATAACTGTCTTGGAGAGGGTATCTGGCAATTAATCCAGTTCAAAGAAAAAGCTATAGTAGTCGATAGGTATCAAGTATTGTCTCGCCTTATATGAGAACAAATCTGTTGCTACTTTCACCCATGGTCTGTCAGGTACTTTGTGTAAAGACAATGTCTCTGGTGGTTGGCGATCAGTATAGGTTGCAGACATCGCATGCTTCCACGAAGGCACGTATCTCAGCCAACATTCTAGGTCAATATATGAGCTCACGTGCTCGTCTAAGACACGCGTTAATACCTAGATGTCCTGCATGCAGATTTTCTTTTATTTCCCGACGCAGTTCTGTTAGGACTATGAATCGCTCACCACGCAGTAGGATACCATCTTGTAACTCATCTCGGTAGTTAAAGAAAGGAATGAGTTCCTTGAGCACAGAGTTCTTGTTTTCCGGCCACCCTCTAAGAATCGTATCTTTGAAAGACATGAGGGTACCATCTCTCTCTGTAGGTGCACGAATCTGGTCCAGCCTTCCTGGCTTGATAGGTGAGAATGATACGTTACTCACTACTGCAGCATCAGTGTGTGGCTTATCTGAAAGAGGAGCACGTGAGAGTGCATCTGCGACCGGAATATCTACTCCAGGTTTGTGCGTTAGTGTGATCTGGTATTTTTGAGTCCCCAGCAGCAATGCTTGTAACCTCTTGGGTGCAGGGAATAGCGGTTTTGTAGCAATAGCGTCAAGGGGCTTGTGGTCTGTGGTTACATTAACCTTTCTCCCATAAGTATAGTTGTGAAACTTTTCAAGTCCATGCATACACCACAGCCAACATCTCCTTCTCTATTTGTGCCCATCTTTTCTCAGTATCTGTTAGGGATCGGCTTGCGTAGGCAATCGGACGTCCCTCCTGCATCAATACCGATCCTAACCCATGCTCGCAGGCATCGTTTATCTAGCGTTAGTCCCATATGTTGATCGTAGAACGCTAACACAGGGGCCTCTGAGGCCATCTGTTTTACTTTTTCAAAAGCTTTCTGTTGTGATGATGCCCACACAAAGGGTACCTCCTTCTTGGTTAGGTTTTGCAACGGTACAGTGACTGAGGTCAGATGGGGCAAGAACTTTGCCAAGTAGTTGCTGAATCCTAAGAATCGTATCACCCCTTCGAGATCAGTCAGGGCTGGCATATCATTGATAGCACGCACTTTTTCAGGATCGACCTGCAGGCCACGATCTGTAATGCGATGACCAATGAACGTATTCTCTGCTGTTCTAAGACTCAGTTTGTCACGATTGAGCTTGATTCCTTTCTCTCTACACCGGGAAAGAAATGCTTCGAGCCTCCGATCATGCTCTTCGATGTCTCTACCATGAACTACTGTAAACAGGAATGAGCGTTCATGTAGAAATGATGAAGTAGATCCAAACTTGTGTGGTAAACTGTACAACCTTTAATATCTTACACACATCACATCTCCTTACACACAGACAAAGACCCGTGCACACGCGCGGTCGCGCATGCGCGTACTCTCGCGACCAGAGCCCGAATTCTCCCCTACATCTCTGTCCTATCTATTTCCCCCAAACTCCTACAAACATACTGCCCGCACATGTACCCGTTCTCACAGACTACGTCCTACACCAATTTCACAGTGAACCTCTAATCTGTAACCTAACCACGTTTACCATTCTCTCTAATACAACAATGTTGCAATGACGCTCTGTCTAGCTAGCCATGTCACACGTGTAAAACAGATGTTACATTATCTCCCTTTTCCCAAAAACGATGACTAGGGTAGTCATCGACTCAGCGTCCTCGCTGCTCTACACTTTAACCTGAACCTAACCAATTCCAAAAAAAATACTACCCTAATATCTTCCTAACTCAATCCAACGAGGAACGTCTTTCTGTCCGATTAAACACCCACAATCAATACACACAACCATAACAACAATCAAAATACAATAAGAAAACACATATGAAGCGTAGAAAACAAGTAACGATAAAGTTCGATCACAATATAAGTCAGAAACTCAACACATTTGGCATGAACATTCTGATATCGCTGCAATTACTCTCACTCTTGCGTATTTTTATGGCTGTAACGTACGTGGCGTATGCGTATACAGACATGCATTACCGAAACCACGTTGTATCTGGATTATATTCTCATAATCCCAGGGCACACAGGGCCCATGCACACAGGCATTAATAAACACGGCACTGATGTGGTACTTTGTCACTTCCACACATCATACGGCCAACAAAAATCATCATATATCATCCATCATACATCATACATCATATACAGCCAACAAAAATACGCAAAACTGATTTCATATTTTCGATGAAATGTTTTTGGCCTATAATCAAACTCTAATTGAAGAATGTGTTTAGCGGTCTGACGATATAGTGGAAACGTACCGTCACTGGTTAGCACAAATTCAAGAAAACGATCACAAATTTCTAAACAAAGTTTAACGAAAAAGATTTTCCACAAAAAAAAACGGTTAGAAGCATATATCATGAAGAAAATACCGCGTTCATAGAACAACCATAAACCTACATACATACATACATACATACTAAATATACCCTGCCGTAGGCCTACTCAGCGTCACACTTTTCCCAAAATAACATCATCTGTGCTTGCCATTACCGCGTCGCCAGCCTTCTATGGTATCCAACTATACACCTGTGCGTAACTA